GAGCGCGTGTCACCAAATCAACTCTACGACCGACAATATTTTACAACTTTAAATGTAATCTACGGCGAAGTTTATGTCTACGATATAAAATATATTAATCAGAGCGTAATCTCCCAATATGACTTAGTATAATCAAATACACGAGATGCAGTTTGGAAAGTGAAGAAACTCAAGAAAGTCAATAATAAATCAAGCATAGTATAGTAACTAGTAACCACCATACTGCACGGTATCAGTAGTGGGATAACAGCAGATATACAGGCCGAAATTGGCTATACCTACACACGTCGACCGAACCATCGCCCGCCGCACCATTTCTATTTAGTAAAAACCGCTGCCTAGAGGATCCCGCCGCGGAGTCCTCGCAACTGGTATCAGTACCTTTCGGTACAACTCCTCTCCTTACCCTGCAGTGTTAGTAGTGGTACAGCTTTGACTGTACTGTTCAAGCTACTACCACTCAGCGTTGGAGAGGAAAATCCCGTAAACCCACTATACGGACTCTGCAGTGATACAGCTCACCACTGTATTGATCAAGTTGCAGCTCTCCGTGTAGTAATCGCTACGCTTCCGCAATCGAATTCGTTCTCTCCATACGCTTCTGCAGTGGTACAGCTCATCACTGTACTGATCAAGCTGCAGAACTCCGTATAGTAGAGAACGAATATTTGTATTGTCCGTCGTCGATAAAAACCGTATTCCTGTTGTTCGCGCCACCGTTGTGAAACCACCAGTCGTATGATAGCCTGTACCAACGTCGCCGTGAATTAATAAACCAGTGTCACTGCAGAACAGGAACCAGCCTGCAGTCACAAGTGTCAACACCACTATCATTCCATTCAGACTCCGGGAGCCGTGTGATACCTACTTTGATATAAGAGGTGATCCGTCGCGGAAAAAAATACGTGAGTCATATCCAGTTTATATAAACAAACATTATATTATATCTGTAGCTCGAAGAGCATATATATATATTAACTAAAAAGACAATATTGCAAACGAACATTATTAAATATTATAATATATTTGTAATAATAAATAAAAAAACACACTATATACATCAAAACAAATTCGTGTGTAATTTATCGTTACACCTTCTGGTTTCCAGTCGAGTGCATCCAAACCACGGTCTTAGATTGATCCAAACTTAACCTAAGTTACCCGTAAAGTAAATAAAATAAATATTATAATGTGATTCTTGATAAATATTAGGTTTTACCTGCGCTTTTCAGGCCAGTCACAAGAATCGGTCATCACGTAGCAACGCAACGATAAACACTTCACACAACGTAGGTAATAATTATAAACAATATTATTAATTTGCAGTATAGAATATTCTTGAGTATTTCCGAAACAGATTTTGCCATTTGTAAATTTTCAAAATGTATTGCGAGTCATATATTATGGTACATTATTGAGTCATAGCCAGATGATCCGGATTCCTATAGTGAGACGCTATCCCTTCAGCCGCTGTGACCGATCGAAGATTTGCCGGGATTTCCCCTTTTTTACAATATAATATGTACAGGACACCCAATAAAGAGATAACCAAACTTTAAACAAATATAATACAAACATAATATATAATTTAACTGCTTAAAGTTTTCAATTTAAAATATTTGCTTAACGTTTGCTCTTTACTGGGTGCCCTGCACATATTTTCTATAGGTTCAACTGCGTACGAATCAACGCACTTTATGCACTATTTGTCAGGTCGTATAGTTTCTTCGGTATTATTATCTGGTGCCGAGCTTAGTCTTGCTAGGAGTCTAGGAATACCTTTTGTATTTATATATAAAACAATGTGTACAGGACACCCTATAAAGAGATGGCCAAACTTTAAACAAATATAATACAACCATATATCATATTTAACGACGTAAAGTTTTAAATGTTCAAATATTTGGTTATAGTTTGCTCTTTATTGGACGCCCTGCACATATTTTTTGTAGGTTCAACCGTGTTCATCAAGTCAACGCATCACTATATTTCGTCAGGTCGTATACATTTTACACTCGGTACCTATACCTTCAGGTCCTGACCGCAGTTTTGCTAGTACTCGTATTTTTGTGTATATATTATAATATAGTGTGTACTGGGCAGGACTCCCAACAAAGAGCCGTTGACCAAAGTTCAAGCAAATATATATAACTCTATAATATTATGTTCAAACACTATTGGTTGATGTTTGCTCTTTACTGGACGCCATGCACATATTTTTTGCAGGTCTCGCGTGGTTCTACATTTAACCGCACTGGCGCACTATAACCATATATTATTATGCACTTGGCCCAGTCGCATGTGCAATATATATTATATAAATCGATGGGTGAAAAACGGAAGCCCGAATTACTTCCGGTATAACATTTATGAACGACGACGCGTTAAACATTATGCTTATATTTTGTTTTTGTTTTTTTTTTTTTTGGTTTTTTGGTTCAGTGGAGTCCTGAGCGTCGGCCCGTCTATATAGCAGATCCAGTTGCCGGACGCGCAGAGTAGTTGGAAGTCCTTCGGGCTTCCGGTAAATGATTTAATCACGCTAATGTTCCAATTTACATACGAGTAAATCGTTGTTTTGTTTTGTTTTTTTTTTTTTTGGCACTCCGTGTATGACTTTGTGAAATAAGGCCTACTCGCCGCAGTGATCGGATTGGAAGGATGGCTGAATCAAACAAAAGTGTATGAGATATAACTAATTAATCAATATAGTTTCGAGCACTACATTTCAGCAGTGAGATCAAAATATTATCAATAAGTTAATAACTTACATAACTATATTAATTTGATGGAAATAAACAAAATTGTATTAATATAAATAAATGCTTGTTTAATGTTTTCATACCTATAACTGAGTACATAGAGTGAATGCCAAATGGTAATTAATAATTACTTTATAAGTAAAGACTCGTCAAGACGATTTCTCAACGTCTCAGTAGTGAGCAAGTATCTCAAAATGCAAAATAACAAAATATATTTTTTCATATAATGTGAATTCGCATTAAACAATTTTATATTTTACAACTATATTTTTATCGTAAGTTTATTACTTTTTTCAACGAAAACGTACATTTTTAATTTCATATTCCAGAGCAAGATATTTTTCTAAGATTTTCGTTTTATAATAACAAACCTTTTTACACCATTCTGCGGTACGATGGAATATAAACTAGGAGGCTTTAGCGCCTCCCCGACGATCCCTCACCGGTCACCAACCTCCTCAGATTTTTGTCTAAAATATTTTCAATATATTAACGTTTAATATTTATTAAATATGCGTCATGTCATTTTTAAAAAATAATTAAATGTATTTATAATTTATATATTAATATTGCAGAGTTACAAAATACAATATTTTTTTAACATAGAAAATGGTTTTTCAATCACAATTCCTGATAAAAAAAAAAACCAAAAAGAAAAATTCAAAAATGTGAAGCGATTAAGTAAAATAAACAACTGTTAAAGATGAAATAATTCTGGGAACTCTCTCTTTTGTACAAAAAAAAATATATATATTATGTACCATTATAAATGTGCCAGCTTACAATAAGCATTTTAGTAGGTACCAAGAGTTGCCTGAATCGTGCAATAATACACTCAGAAACTTAGATATAAACATAAATACACTTTATTTAAGTGTTATATTATATTAAGTATAATTTAATCATTATCTATTAATTTGCATATTTATCATATTTAAAATTGTAAAAATATTGATGCCACACTACTGACCAAATTATGTTTATTTTGCTTATAACTTATATTACTCTATTTCTAATTCTGTAAAAGGTAAATCACCGTTATCACCGTTATGTGAAGGAATCACTATTAGGCCGCGTGCAAGTTGATGGACAATATTTAACCAACCAAGCTCAACCCTTTAGGAATTTTTGAACATTTTTGGTATTCCCATATAATCGAACAGAAATAATGAGTGGGCCTGGAGTGATGTGATGTATGTATCACCCGAGGTCAAAACTTATAAGCTCACATCATGTGCCATAAATACACATTAAATTTAGTACATAATTTTTATGGATTTTTAAGACTGTTTTTAAAATGCGTACGATCATCGTTCGGCGGAAATGGAAAATACTTAAAAAAAACGCAGTCTCGTTAATTTTTACCCTAGGATGAGGCTGAAATCACATCTCCCCAGCCTCACCCATTAATTTTGTTCGATGAAGGGAAAACCAAGATCGCACACATTTTGAAAAAGTTCATAAAAATTGCTTACTAAAGGTTAGTAAAGAAAATTTTCAAAATGAAAAACGGGTGGGGCCGGGGCGATGTACATCAATATTTGTAAGCGATGAACGCTAAAGATAATGATTAATGAATAAAGCATGGAATTATTATAGGGTATCATCATCAATTAATGCTCAGTTTGTATAATAATATATAGAATTATATTCAAGAAATTTAAAAATATTCTACTTGAATACACGGAATAATTTAATAAAAGTTATAATCATTATAATAATAATATAAATTATAAAATTAAAATTAAAACAGATATTTATTTTTTACATTTAATATACCCTAAGATAAAAAAAAAAAAAACATGTTTTATACATTATAATAATTATTCCTTTTTTCACACATTATTATAACACGTGTAGTGTGTACATATAATATAATAATTATTATGATCTTTAAATAATAATCACATTAATAAATCGCGAAAAATAGTATTTTACAAATCAAATATCGTCGCACGCGTGCATTTGTTTGTGTGTTTGTGTGTGAATGTGAGTGTGAGTGTTTGTGTATTATTATGTATTAACGTGACACGATAAATTAAAATATTTAAAAATTATAATCATGATTTTGGTTTCGTCGGATGGTTTCGAATCGATACAACAAAAAGGCGTATAGTATATTAATTTATTATTATTATAAATATTTTAAGAAAAGGAATAGTTTTCCTCGATAGAATGTGAGACGAAAAGCTATACTATTTTGTATAATTATGTATGTCGTGTCGCTGCCACATTAAGTTAAGCGTATCCTTGTCTACGTTCTTCGTTCCGTATGCTGCTCGCCAGGCACAACGCGAAAATGATGCCGATCAGCTGAAACAAAATAACGCGTTTGGTTGAAATAAACAGTTTTTGGTTATTATTGCCTACGGTAAATTTAGCCATACCATTGGGCCATTTAGGGCCCGTATTACAATAGTTGAACTCCGGTTAAATCACCGAATTCGGAAGGTAAAATAAGTGGTTCAAGCGTAACCGAGGTATAAACTTAAAACTATGATTGTAAAACGGGCCCTTAGAGGGAGAAATTACCATTATTTAAATAGTCGTACCTATATTGATATTTATTATGGTTTAATCACGACAGAAATGGGGACTCTAGTATATTTTAGGCTTGCTCACCCCCTTTAATAGTGAAAATAAGTATAATATAGTACCTAAAAATAAGTAAAATTCTGTTTTTAGTATTTTTTCTAAAAACCATTTTCTCAAATTGCTTATATTTTTTGTTCCGCTTAGAGTGAGGGTGTCCTCTGGCGATACGAACTTCTATTTTTAAAATGAGAACCCTCTCGTTTTTATTGCAAATTATTAAACGGAAGATTTTCTTGACGATTTTTATGCACCTATCTAAATCAAAATTATAATGAGTATAGTTCCTGAGTTATCAAAATGTTTATACTAATAAGGTTAATAATCTTTAAAAATGGTTTCACAGAAATATAAACTATAATATTATATAATACTAGATGTAGTATTTATTACACCTACTTGGACCACTTTAACATATTATTCATTAGATCAATAGTAGATACTTACATTTTTAAATCATCTAAGTAACTAAGTCTTTATATCTTCTTAACCCATTACCATAGACATATTATAGGTAGGTACTTAGGATACAATGTTATATAACTCAAAAACTATTCGTACGAGTTTTGATCTAGATACACCAAAATCCTGCAGAAAAATTACAAGGGAAAAAAGAGAGGGGTTTTTATTTGAAAAAAGTTTGTATTGTCACAGCTGGATCATCCTTAAGTGTTACAGAAATTCAAGTACCTATTCGAAATTATGGTCTTCAAGTGTATTAAAAAAAAATCCTAAAATCAGAATTTGAATATATGCATAATTTAAGCATTCTGGCAATTTAAGCATGCCTAAAAAAATCAACAAAATATTTAGTTTATTTTTCTAAGTAGTTTTCACAACTACAATATAGTTTAGTAGGGTCAACGATCCCCATTTTAGTCGGTAGTAACTAGCTGGTAGCTTTCTAAAACATTAAAACTTTTTATATTTGTATACATTTAAAAAATATAATTTAATAATTAATACTAATGGATAATGAAGACGTGATAATAATATAATAGATATAGTAAATCATTACGCCGTAGACTTTTCCCGTGAAAAGATTATATTTTACAATGGGCGATTATTATTGTGCATTAATGTACATATGTAATTATTGTATTGCTCTTAAGACCAGAAATACGCATCAAAACGATAAAAGAGATGAATAATTGTTAAAACAAAATGTCAACAATGATATCACATAATATGTCCTATATCTTACAGATAACGTCAACACTCAACACACAATATAATTATCAAACCATTACGTAATATTATGTACAAATATATTTTTAGATTCTGAGTGAAACGATGAATGAATTGATTGTACAATGATGTGTTTTTTTTTTATTTTTTATTTTATTTGTGTCTGTGTACACGATAAGTAGTCGAAATAATGCTTCGATTTTCAACTTCAGTAGCTTATTCGATTGGATAGTGAATATCGTTTTTCGTTGAATTCGTAAATATTTTTCTTTTTAAATCTAAGATTTGAAAATGTAAAACAAAATTACTCATAAGTTTGTCTACCTTTATCAATAAAAAAATCTCTACCGGAAAATCAAATTAAATTTTTACAACATTGGATATTGACTCGTTTTCTCATGTAATGATTTCCTTATTTTGTTGTAACTCAAAAACGAATAATTGTAGAAACATGAAAATTTCACTGATTGTTTATATTAAAATTTCCTATACACCATACAGTTTTGAAAATATTTTGAATCTTTTTGAGCTGTTTACGGGCATTTTCTGTTTTCGAATTTTTTAGTTTTTTTTCTATAAATATCAATAAAGTTTTAAATGTTGGGCCAAAAAGTGTAAAAATGTAATACAAGGCTCCTGATATATTATTACAATATCAGTTGAAAAATATTAAAAATATATAGGCACAATTTTTTTTTATAAGCATTTAAAGTTCGAATTTTGACAAAATTTACCACATAATGCTTATCAAAATGTGTAACCTACTGTACAGCAGAGCACCTTTTTTTTAATGATAATATAAGTCGCATAGGTATACCTGTATACTAGCTGTATTTACCAATTAGGAATATTATTGAATGGGATAAACTGATAACTGACAATTTTGTTCTAAAACCGCTTTGTTAATGTATGGCCGTATCTATACTATTGTTGACGTGGCTATAAAACACTACAATTTCGATCGTCGTTTATACGAATACTTAAAATCTTACCAACCATGGGCACTTCAGAGATAATGTTGTTGCCTTTAAATGTTATAATGGATGTATTGACACTTAAATGTTTAAGCCAACACAAATGTGAACGAACATAAATTTGTCATGTTAGGCTTAACAACTTTCAGTTTTCTTAAAGATAAAAGAATATTAAAATAGAAGACCGATTTAAAACTATACTTAAGTACTTTGATTTTTACTGTTAGAAAAATTGTAATTTCTTTAGACACTTTAAACTTTCTAAACACCAACCGTTGATCAGGCAGTGAGGCTCATAGGTAACTCACCTATACTAAGATTTTCTATGCTCCAAAATAACTAAATGTATATTATATTATAATTATTAATTTATAATTTACAATTACAAAAATATTCTAGTAGTGCATTATTTTTGAATAGGTATTTGAAAATGGTTTCTAAGGAATGATAATATAGTTTTTACTTTATATAAGCCTAATACAAAATTTAGTTGTGGCGCTGAAATCCACTTTGAACCATCCGTAGAACCGTTTATAATTTCTATAAAGACATTTTGTGTCTTTACACGTGGCATGTTCTAGTCCTCAATTATATAAAGTATACATTATAATGTGACTTATGCATGTGTGAAAATGATAGTAGGTACATTAGAGGATTATACTACCTAATGAGTCACATTAATGTCAAATAGATTAGGATTAGATGTTGACTAACATAATTTTACTAAATACGTACTTTTAATATAGACAATGATTATATGTAAATTAACGGAAACAATTTTTTTTATTACATTTACATGATTCATAACTAGTATTTTTTCACCACACAAACCCGAGCCCAACAGTAAGTATAATATTTTAACTAATAGTTGTGACGTCGTGCTTACCTCACCACCCGCGATTCCCGTGATGATCTTGAACAGCATGCCTGACTTGTCCTTGACTAAGTCGATAGATTTTTGCAGACAACCATCCTGCCACGCCTGTGCCTTTGAACACGTCGTCCCTTGGCCACCATCCTCGTGGCAACAGGTGTGCGGTAGAGCGGCCGCGTTGCGTTCGGTCCAATAGTTCGGTCCGTCTACACCACAACAGTGGAACTAAAAATACATAAAAACAAGTAATGGATTGTTAAAAATTGTAATTATTATAATTAAACCTAATTAAAATGATTTCAAATGCGGTGTGTTATATTATTACGATACAAATTGGTGAAAAGAGCCATATAGTATATTATTTATGTTTACATTCTTACTCTTAAAACACATTAGGACACGGACAACTCCGATACATTTATGAGGATATCTCATATCTGTCTGGATAATCAAAAAAACTGACTATCTCAGTATCATGCTAAGCAAGCTTTCTCAACCACTTCCTTGAAAGTTGAAACTTATGCCATCCGCATGTGTTAACATATTATAATACCTCAAAAACCAAATAAACATCACAATCTTCTCACATATACCAAATAATATATTGTTGCAAACAAAACACAAAACTTGGTCCATTATATAACTCACATCGACCAAAAATATACTGGACCTCGTCAACCATGTATATTATATACATTTACAATCTAATTTAAACAAATTATATAATAATGTAATACAACATTAAAACAATAATATGTTATAGTTAGTAACTAATAGTTAATTAGTTATAAATTATAACTAATATATTAAAGTATGTTATCAATGGTAATGATTAGACATAGTTGTCACGTGTTCTTTGTAGATTAGATTCTTAGATATTATGTAAATATGCTTATTATTTATCGTTTATTGGTCCGCATGTATTCTACATAATAGACATTTTGTGCTCAATTTGAAAACCACGACGACGCAAAATCTCACTTACCTGCGGGGCCGTTATAATATTAACTATAATGCTAAAAAACAAAAAACATATGTATAAATATATATAATATATACTTACGTCGTGTTGTATTTCGTCGACAAAAGCGCGCGATTCCGACTTGTTAGAGTAATCTTCAAAAACGGTATTCAACGATTTTCGAGTGATCGATTCCACTTGTCCCCGGTTCACGTACAAGAAAACTCCAGTGGCTGCCTCCAACAGGAAAAACGCCAATAGGAACATTGCGTACTGAAATAACGGAGTGTAAGTATCATTATAGCACGTGTATGTCTTTACTCATTAATATAATATGCGTATTTTGGATTTAATTATGGGTGGAGGGTAGGGCGGACTAGCCAGTGCCCAGTTGTGATAGTGTTATGTGGCCACTGAACTACAGGATAGAGAAAAGAAACAAACTGAACTATATATATAGTGAAAGTAGCACACCGAGATATATAATATGGACTACCAGAGCCGGGGGTAGCTGAACAGTTTACTGTATATTACTAATATATTTATTTAAAATACTATTAACAGTTTTGAGCCACTATTATTGAACAAAATATATAGGAGGTAATACGATAAGTTCATGATCGAATCATACAGTTTAAAATATTATGTATAGTAGGTGCGTATAAATTAACAAGTATCAGCTAGTGTCCAGGTTTTAATTAATCCCTGATAAATGATAATAAAAATAATTAGTCATGATGAAATAAAAAAATCTGCACCAGTGGGGTCAGTGTGGATTTTAAAGATGTAATGAAAAAAATGCTTACTTAAATTATGCTTATTTACTGTAGTTAGAGATGGGTAATTCCCGGGAACACGTGGGGATTTCTGGGAATCATAAGACAAGTGCGGTAACGAACTTAATAATAAGTTAACGCATCATAAGGCTAAATAATAGCGTAGGTATGTATTTTATTTCAACAGTGAAGTCCAAAAAAACTTTTTCGGTTCACTGTGTCCGTTCATCGTAATATTATTATAGATCGTGTATAAGCGGCAAATATTTTGATTTGACGTATAAAACAAAAACAAAATATCGTTTAAACGTACAACGTGTAATTTTGTGTCCGTACGCACGACTAACAATTTTAATTCATATTTTATTCCGAATAAAATCAACAGTGCGTACGAATTGTATACATGATCATTCGTAGGAATATAATATTAAATGTATAATATTATAACTGTTATAAGTTATAGGCTATAGCCTAAACGATTCAAAAATCGGGACAATCATCTGAACGAACGTCGGAAATAGTAAAAACTTAACAGAAGACCCATTATATTCCCAATAAAACATACGTTAGTGGTGCTGATATTCAGTGGCGGATCCAGAGGGGGGTGCTAGGGTGCTATAGCACCCCCCTTGGCATGTTGCTACCTGGTTAAAAACAAATACTATATACTATACATATTTTTCAGTGGGCCGGGTACGTTATACTAAATCGGTAACAGAATAAATAATATTATTTTTTTTTTTTATATAAGTAATTTTTCCCTCAACAATTGAGATAAGTGATAACCAGAAGTGACTGAAAAATGGAACGATACAACTATAAATAAATATTGTTCTATGATACAACCCACGGGTCACGGGTATCAGACATGAATATTGGGTTTAGTATCTTACTGTTTAAATCATAGATATTTTCCACGATATAGATAATATTATCTAGTAGTTACACAGAATAGAATAATAGTTATCACTAGTGTTATCACCGAATACCGATTATACTATTTTAAATCCACGGTATTATTATAAATAATAATTTTGTCTATTACCATAGAACAATATAGAAGCGACACTCGATCAGCTGATGGGTGAAGTGTTTACCTATGATCTGAAGTCCGAACATTCAAACTGTTTCCGTTTACCAACATGATGTTATACTCGTATTGAAAAACCGTCTCCGATTAATAGGCAGGGTATTCTGCGCGGGTCGGGTTGTTTCCAGCATTGAAAAATTGTTTCCACTGTTTACTGTAACGTATGCCACGCCCCTTTAGAGACCATTTTCAAGGCCACAATCTCCCGATCCGACCAATTCACGGAGTGTCGTACCCCTGCTATTACTTTAATCAGTGGCGTACCTATGTACAAATTATTTTCATAATGGGCCAATTATTTATCACTAGTTAGCATAGTGAGACTAACATAGCCATAACTATACATTTTTTAAGGAGCTGGGTGGTTATAAATACAAATAAAAATTGAGCAATTCAATTTTATAATTATTATGTAAAATTCATTTTTAATTCTTTTTTAAAAAATATTGACAATTTCATATATAAATAATATATATTTTAATGTTATCTTATTGTGAATTTAACACAAAAGTCATCAAAGCAAGTCCAGACAATCTAACATTTCCTTGTTGATTCCTCATAACGATTTTAATTAACCGGTTAAATTAATCATGGTGAAAAACTGTAAACACGTTTGATATACATGAAATAGTTTAATTGAACCTGCAATTTAACTATGGGCTCTGGCCTAGGGAGCCTATATACGCCACTGACTTTAATACTTAGGTTATTATACATTTAAAAATTATAGATATCTTAAGTAGTTGACACCTTCGCTTGGAAAAAAAAAGGAGGATGGAATTAGAAGATTGGTCAAAATGTCCTAATCATTTTAATTTGTTTTTTGTCAATCAATTATTAAGAAATAAAAAATACAATAAGTGGATGTGATATAATTTAAATTTCTTGTTTACATTTTTATGTTTTATTTTTTTTTTAAATAAAGATATTTGTTTTATATGTACTTTTAAAGTTTTCACTTATCTTTATCCTTTTAAATATTCAGCAATGTGCTTTATGCGCAATTGCCAATTAGGACTAAAAAAATGTCATGCCATCAGGATGTAGTATACAGAATACAATATTATACCTTAACCTAAGCACCCCCCATAAAAAAATCCTAGATCCGCCCCTGCTGATATTATGCCGAAATGGGAAGAAACTGTATTTGAGGGTGGGAGCATACCAACTTCCCAACTGAATACTTAGGTCATAATTAAGAACAGTGTTTCATGAAAAAATGTCAACATGTCTTATGTGACACATACTTTACTATGCATATACAGGCATTACTGATAAGCATATAGTTAGAAGGGTTTACTGCCTGTATTACAATCGTTAAATTAAGGTTAAATCACCGCATTCGGCAGGTAAAATCAGTGGGTTAGGCGTAACCAAGGTTTAAACTATGATTGTAAAACAGGCTCTTAGTACGCTAAAATATTTTTTTTAAATAAGAGGGTCACCGACCTCCTCAATTCTAGCTATATAGCTATAAGTAATTTTTTTTTCGATGTATTTATATGCCTAGTTTAAACTTTACACTTTAAAGTATATTGTATAACATTATACTTTATTAGTTTATTCACAGATATTGTCTAAGATAAACTTCAAATTATATAAAATAAAAAACAATTATTTTTTAAAAACACAAAAGTTGATTGTATCTTCTGTGTGTATGTTTATGCGTATAATTATATTGTTATGTCATACCATTGTGATCATGCAATGGCTCTCTCGGATAGCTCCGCAACAGCCGAAGAACGACACAACGAACACGGCTCCACCAATGATGATGAATGCCAAAGCTGCCATACCAGCCGCATCTCCGGATGCTTTGTTGGCCAGCTCTTCAGTTTTCGTCGAATAATACCGAGTAACCAAGCCCAAGGCCAACAATGCTAGACCAGAAAGCTGAAAAACAAACAAAAGTGTTATCAATATACCGAATCACGAGTGTAATAATAATAATTTCGAAATAATATATAATACGCTTGCTACAACGGAAAAATATCACATAATTATTATAGTATATATTATATTTATTATTATTGATAGTATTTTAAAGTGTTCATGATTTAGAATATTATTATAATTATGGGGGACGAGGTGGCCGAGCGGTCGAACACGTCGTCTGCGGCACTGGCGGTCGCGGGTTCGATTCTCTCGACCACTGGGCGGCATTTTTCTCCGGGCAAGTCACGGTGTCCGGAGAACAAGTGCCGCCATCCCTCACTCCGGGGCATGGCAGAAACCTACGGGTGCCCCAATAGAAATTCTGCCAAACACAACACACACGTGTAACAACCCTACAATTGCAAACCCTACAACCTACAATCATAAAAACTCCTACAATCAGCTAATGGCCATAGTCGCCGGGCTTTAAAGATCAATTAAAAAAAAATATTATAATTGTCGAAGGATTACGACAATACTTCTGAATCATAATATATTCAATTGGAAATATTTGAAATATTCGATACACGGATAGCAAAGCCGGCTATTTATATTAAGGCGTTAAAATACGAACAATTCCTAGTTAAGTTGATTACACAAGGAAAGAATTAAATCAAACTATTTAGACGGTCAAAAATGACTTTTCAGGCAAAAGACGATCACGCGTCGTAAAACATTCAGATTTTGATAATTTATATTCTATCTGAAAGAGGAAAACTTTATTTGGATCGCAATAGAGTCCGATTTTTGAATAAACTTTAAATAGGTAACACTAGGAAAATACATTTCATAATACTCAAAAATGTGTGATTAGTATAAGGCGTTTATTAAGACTTATGAAAATAAAATTTTTGCGATGATCTCGCTGTCGGCCGTATAATTTTTAATTTTCTGATTTATTATTTTGTTTAATAATTGTGATATGATAATATTGTTCATGGGTAAAATTATCAATATTATTGCAATACTTAGTGTAATACAAAGGTAATTATTTAAAATATAAAATGTAAAACTATGTGTAATTATAATATTATGTCGTTAATGTTGTTCGCGACCTCCCCAAATACCATTGTACCATATTAAAATATTAATATACAATTTAGTTATTTAACAATTATTTCAATATCAACAAAAGCTCTAAATGCATAACATATTTGGTTATTCACTTAATTTCCTAACGACTTATACTAATTCTTATCAAACACAACGTTGTCATACTCCCAGTACCATAGATCAAGGGCACGTTGCTATAATATATTAATTATTGTCACATTTTACGTTTGTGCCTATATATAATAATTTTGTCGTCACTCGTTTCCAGACGTCATACGATATAAGTGTACAAGACGTGTAGAAAGTCGTGGGAACAATAGTACTGCAGCAGTCTCAAGTGGCTAAATGACGTGTATAAATAATAAAACATAATATTATAGTATATAGTTCATCTTCGCCAGAAAATTACTCATATTAATCAATTTTAGTGCGTGATACAAATAGGAATATGTGATTACAATTTACAATGGTATTGTAAGATTCAATGCTCGATTCACATGTTGCAACAGCAACATAATGTTATCGTCATTTACACCGATAAACAATAAATATATTATATTATAGAGTAGTATGATCATCGTGGTCTTTATATTGAGACAAGTAAATTATTCGTTTCCGTCTACATAAATATGAGTACTTGTCGGAATGATGACACATGCGTGTTATAATATATAACATTATTACTACTTACGAATAATATTGTAATTGATACGATATTACGATAATAGTAATATAAGCATTATTATGGTACCATACTGTTATGGTGTTAAATATATCTATTATAATTAATTATAATATAATAATTACCATCTTACTATTATTATCGTCGCTCTCGAGATAGATTTGAAGACACTAACATATTATGTTTCTCTGAGGACTCGTATCACCTAAATTTATTGTCTCCGTCTTACAAACGTTGAACCATTGAGTATAATATAATATTGTACAATTTATACTCAATGGTATACAACTGTACAAGATGTTATCAAACCTGCAATGCTGTATGGTTATCTAGTTAATAGTTTGAATTGACCTATTGTCAACTTAAAGATAAGACTAGATTATATTCTGTGGAATGAGTGGGTGCCTATGTAAAATATTACAATTTTTAAAATGTTCATAACTAGCTTAAAGATTAATATATCGTAAAAAACCGACGCACAAACACAGATAATATTATGGTCTTTACTTTATAGTTTGATAATTGATTGGTCAATTCACTCTAACATTATTATTAAAGCTAATGACAGAAAATTGGTCCTGCTGTGCATTGCTATGTTGTATAAAACAAAGATTATACTGCAAACATCTGTATACGGCATAATACACAATCAATTGAAGGGCTCCCTGCAACGACATTACTAGACAAATCCAAATTTTTAAATTTTTCAGAACGACCATTTTAAAATTCGTTATCCCATCTATTCACTCAGTTACTTTCCTGAAATATTGTGACTTGTGTGGTTGTTGCAGGGGGCCTTTTAATTGAGTGTTATTATTTTCCAATTACACTTTTCGATTGTTTTACAAAACCCAGTATGTGGCAAGGATCAATGAATATAAATATATAATATAGGGTAATAAAATGTATAACTATATAATATAATTTAATTAACCAATTACATACGAATCGTTCCTATATAACAACACCGATAAATAATACGAGTATATTACAGTATATAACGTATACCTAACCTATTATCATAGTATTTAAATTGTTGTCGTGTTATTATTGATTATAATTTATAAATTATAGCTGTTCGGTGCCAGCGATTGATATCGGTTGGTCGCAATTTAAACACGATAGGAAATTCCAGGCAACCGTGGTGATTTAATATATCAGTTTACAGACAATTTTTGCGACCATAGATCTGATAAAATATTGTAATAAAATATAGGTAGATAATTATAATAATAATATATATTATAATTTATCCGGTACCTACATCGCATGGGTAGTCAATTGCCAAATTGATAAAGGGCGATAAAAAGTGATCAAATTGGGGGTGTGAATAATTCACCTTGAAATTCAAATAAAATATGTTAAAATTTTTAAAAAGCTAAATATGGTTTTTTTCTTATAAAAAAAACTATAATTTTACCGTACGCGTTCAGATTTGTATCGTATAATAATCCAATAGCCTCGCGGCTCCCGATTGCCTGAACAATATATTATAAGTTCTAACAATAACATTCAGTTGAATGGTTCTCGAAGTATAAGCGTGTAGTAGTATTATGTACACTGTACAACTAAAAAATATACATTGAAGTCATTAGGCGGGTATTATGTCGAAGACCATTATATTATGTTTTTTCGTAAGTACAATTATTTCGTTTTACGACGACGACGACGAGTGCGTGTAATTGCTCGGAGTTTTTTCATGTGCAATTGTCTTCGGTCAGTGGTGTATTCGTGGCGCTTTTATTTGTGTACAAGAAAGAGTCGGCGGCAGCGATCGATTCGAACGATAAATTGAAATTAATTATTCAACGAGCCACAACATAGTGATTGAAACGCGCTGCACTATATTTCATAATATATTCATTATTTCGATCGTGTAGGACAAATATAATACGCGTGCGCGCAAGCTGTTTTACAACACGCGACATAATATTATTATTATTATTATTGTCGTCATGACATAGATGGAATTAAAAATGAAAACAGACCACTGTCGTATTTAACAACAGCTCATAGGGCTTGTAAAACCACACATTGTAGTAGACAACGTAGAAAAGTGTGCATGTTATTATTATCACTGGCGGCTATCCTATGGTCCGCATGTTGCTTCAGCTATTCACACCTATAATATTATATTTTGGTTGGTGAGTAGGTGATTATTAATTATTTATCAAACAACGACTCATTATATATTATAGTGTAACATCATTTTTAAAAAAAAATTGCACTTTAATGAGTTGATGTAAAATAAATAATCACCTACTCACCTAACATAATATAAATCGAAAAAAAATTCGTACATTTAAAATAGTTATAAATAGCAAAATAATAATACAAGACTCGAAATACTTTGAAAACTTCTATAGTAATTTCATAAAATAGATGAAACTTGACTCCCAGAATACCAACCACCTATGAATTAATTTGCTTCAAGTAACTGCCATCCAAGTAAATAAGTTTGAAATTATTTTTTTAAATATTAGTTAATAATTTGATATTATCTAAAATTAATAAAAAAAAAAAGATCGGAAATGTATTGTGTGACCATCTGATTGAATATTAATGATGAAGTATTGATGTATTTTCTGGTTCCCAGTGGCTATAATGGGTATATTATAAAATGGGAATGATTTTTATCCAGGTTTTTATATATTTTCAACTATATATTATACTGCCGTCCTTATTGTAGGTAGTGGGTCCTCAGAAATATCGTCAGCGACACATCATATATTCATATTAGAAGCCACTGATTTTAGAAAACCGTGAAAATATGATCATATGCCAAACCACCGCGATTATCCTGAAAAACGAGTGCTTATCGCCTACAATAATAATTTAGTATAGTGTCGACTATCATGGACACAGAGAGATGCGGTCGGATTTCCGGGAAAAATTAATCATCTGCAGAGTACCTACATAATATTATATGAAAAAGGCATAGTAAGCCGTTATATGGGTTCGCGTCTCGGGATACGCAATTATCTCTCGATCCGATGAGCGAAACGAGTAATGCGTAATAATTTCATTGTCGTCATTCTATAACGCGAGATAAATCGATTGTATTTATATACTTTCCTCGGCGCGGTCCGACGACCATCTATAAAATGAGCGCGGCGTTGCGCAACGCGACCTACCGCCGCTATCATGTATACATATAATATAGGTACGATAATAATATATATTATGATAATTGTTAAGTACCTAGGTATGCACAGGTCGTATA